TTTTTTTTTAATTTGGCATGCCCACTTGGTTAAAATAAAAGACTTTACTGAACATGAATGACATTTTGAAAATTTGTTACAATCTAAATCACAATTATTAGTGCGTTCATAGAAATCTTGAATTAGTATTAATAGCTATTGTTTTAATTTTTATTTAGAGTTTTCTATTTCTAGATTTGTTAATTATTACATGCGATTGTATTTAATAAGAATAAAAATTGGGTTTTAGCACGTCCTATGCAATAAATAATTAAATCTATAAACACAAGGAAATTAATTCTAAAAATTTGCTCAGTCATTACGACTTCCCTCGCAAAAATCGAAACATCAAAGTTCGAGAAATTGAAACGTCGAGAAGTCGAAAAATTGGGAAACCGAAATACCTAGACCAAAATCGAAAAGCTATAACTGAAAATGAAAAAAATCGAAAAATTGAAAAATCGAAACATTGAATTCTTGATAAATCGACAAATCGAAACATAAAAAAATGAGAAATACTGAAAAACTGAAAAATTCAGTAATTCAAAATTCCCAGCATTGAAATTATGAAAAATTGAAAAATCGAAAACTTTGAAAAATCGGGAAATCTAAAAATCAGAAAGTCGAAAAAATCTTCAAACCGCAAAATCGGGATGTCAGGAAATCGAAACATCAAAAAATCCTAAAATCGAAAAACTGAAAATTTGAAAAATAGAAATATCGAAATCCGGAAAAATCGAGAAATCCAACAATTTTAAATTTAAAAGATTGGAAAAGTAAAATATCGACAAATTAAAGAATCGAAAAACAAAAAAAAGAGAAATCGAAAAATCAAAAAAATAGAAAAATTGAAAAATTAAAAAAATCTAGTAGGACTCCAAAATCGAAAATCGAAAAGTTGAAATATGGAAAAACCCAGAGATCGTAAATGCAAAATTTAAAAATTGCAAAAATGTAAAAATCGGAAAATTCATGAATCGAGTAACTGAAAAATCCAGTAACAGAAAAATAGGCAACCGAGTAATCAAAAGATCCAAAATTAAAAAAATCGTAAAAATTGAAAAATTGGATAATTGAAAAACTGAAAAACCCAGGAACTGAAAAAAGAAACATTGAAAAATTGAAAAATCGAACAGCAGAAAAATAGGAAAATCCATAAATCGAAAAATGAAAAAATCGAGAAATTCAACAATCAAAAAATCGAAACATGGAAACTTCGATAAATTGAGAAAAAGAAAAATTGAAAAATCGAGAAATCCAAACCTCAAAATAATGAAAATTCTAAAATTTACAAATTCGAAAATATGAAAAATAAAAATATCGAAAAACTGAAAAATCGAAAAATTAAAATACATCGAAAAATCGAAAAATGGAAGACAAATTGAAGAATCGAAAAACTGAAAAAAAGTGAAATCGAAACATCAAAAAAATTGAAAAATTAAAATCTAGGACTCCAAAATCAAAAATCGAAAAGTGGAAAAACCCAGAGATCGAAAATGTAAAATTTAAAAAATTGCAAAAATTTAAACATCGGAAAATTGATGAATCGAAGAACTGAAAAATTCAGAAACTGAAAAGTTCCAAAATTGAAACAATGAAGAATCGAGAAACTGTAACATCAAATAATAGAAAAATTGATAAAATTCATTCTAAGATTCAACCGAGATCGAAAATCCAAAATTTAAAAAATTGCAAAAATTTAAAAACAGGAAAATTGATGAATCGAAAAGGTAGAAAAATTGAAAAACCGAGAAATCGATCATCCAAAACTTAAAAAAACGCAAAAATTGAAAAATCGGAGAGTTGAAAAATCGAAAAATTTAAAAATTTCAAAGCAAAATGACGTAAAATTGGGAAATCGAAAAATTGTGAAAAAATTTTTAAAAAATGAAAAATCGAAAAGCCGAAAAATAAAGCAACCGAGAAATCAAAAAATCCAAAATTTTAAAAAATCGTAAAAATTGAAAAATTGAATAACTGAAAAACTGAAAAACCGAGGAACTGAAAAAAGAAACATTGAAAAACTGAAAAATCGAAAAGCAGAAAATAGAAAAATCCATAAATCGAAAAATTAAAAAATCGAGAAATTCAACAATCAAAAAATCGAAACATGGAAACTTCGATAAATTGAGAAAAAAAAAATTGAAAAATCGAAAAATCGAGGAATCCAAACCTCAAAATCATGCAAATTCTAAAATTTGAAAACTAAAAATATCGAAGAACGGAAAAATCGAAAAATTAAAATACATCGAAAAATCGAAAAGTCAAAAAATTGAAAAATGGAAGACAAAATGACTAATCGAAAAACTGAAAAAACGAGAAATCGAAACATAAAAAAAATCGAAAAATTGAAAAATTAAAAAATCTAGGACTCCAAATTCAAAAATCGGCAAGTCGAAAAATGGAAAAACCGAGATCGAAAATCCAAAATTTAAAAAATTGCAAAAATTTAAAAATCGGAAAATTGATGAATCGAAAAACTGAAAAATCCAGAAACTGAAAAGTTCCTAAACTGAAACAATGAAAAATCGAGAAATTGTAACATCAAACAATAGAAAAATTGATGAAATTCATTCTAAGAGTAAAAATTGAAATATCGAAAGGTAGAAAAATAGAAAAACCGAGAAATCGATAATCCAAAACTTAAAAAAAAAATCGAAAAATTGAAAAATTCCAAAGCAAAATGATGTAAAATTGGGAAATCGAAAAATTGAAGAAAAAATATTGAAAAAATGTAAAATCGGAAAATCGAAAAATAGAGCAACCGAGAAATAAAAAAATCCAAAATTTAAAAAAATCGTAAAAATTGAAAAACTGAAAAACCGAGGAACTGAAAAAAGAAACATTGAAAAATTGAAAAATCGAAAAGCAGAAAAATAGAAAAATCCATAAATCGAAACATGGAAACATCGATAAATTGAGAAAAAGAAAAATTGAAAAATCGAAAAATCGAGAAATCCAAACCCCAAAAATTATGAAAATTCTAAAATTTACAAATTCAAAAATTTGAAAAATAGAAATATGGAAGAACTGAACAATCGAAAAATTAAAATACATCGAAAAATCGAAAAGTCGAAAAATTGAAAAATGAAAGAAAAATTGAAAAATCGAGAAACTGAAAAATACCAAAATTAAAACATCGAACAATTGAGAAATCGAAAAATTAAAAATTGGAAAATCCACAAATTAAAAAACCGAAAAACAGACAAATCGAAAAATATAAAATTTTAATAATCGAAAGATCGAGAAACTGAAATATCAAAATATTGAAAATTCAAAAATCGAAACATTGATAAACAGAAAATCGAAGAACTGAAAAATTGAAAAATTGAGAAACTGAAAATATTTTAATTTTGAAACTCGAAGAATTAAAATACACTGAAAATTTGAAAAATCGAGAAACCGAAACATCAAAAGATTGAAAAATGAAAGTGGTAAAATCGAAAAATTGAAGAATTGAAAAACTGAAAAGTCGAAACATCGAACTGTCGAAAAATCGAGAAATGCGAAAATCAAAAAATCCATTGATCGATAATTGAGAAAACCAAAGATGAAAAATTTGCAAAACAAAAATCGAAAAATCGTAAAATTGATGTTTATTAGTGCCCTAATTACAATATATCACTATTGTGTCTGCTGGTGTCAATTAAATTGAGCAACTGAAGAATGAAAAAGCCCAGAAATCGAAAATTTGAATAATTGAAGCAATTGAACAACCGAAAAATTGAAAAATCTCAACGCTGACATATCGAAACATTATCGAGGGGTGGAAAAAGCGAAAAATTCAGAAACCGAAAAATGTTTATATCATCATATTTTGATTTTTTTTTCCAAAAATGTCGATGTCCAAGATTCATAAACTACAAATTCAGAAAAGTTACATTTATTCGACAAAATTATAAGTTCAATTCCTGAGGGGGTATGAACGGATAAATTTTGATTAATGAAATACCATGCTATCGATAACCTTAAATGTTTGACATATTTCAAAGCATTCGATTTTGCAATTTTAAATTAAATTGGACAATGTTTCTCAACACGGATTCATAAACCACACCGGGAGGAGTACGTTATTTCATAAAAAATAAATAATTATTGCTCTAAATCGAGTTTAGTAACTTAGAGTGTGCATCAGGGCTCATACACGGGACCATTCCTACTCCCCATTTATGCAAACGACGCCCTTAAATATATTCTAAACTGTATATAAGTTTCTGAACACAACGACGAAAAATATCTCCAGACGAACTTAAACAATTTTACAACAATGAGGTTTTATGGTCTAGAAATATTTAAACAATGCAGAAATACATATTTGCAAGTTAGTTACACAAAAAATGTTTGAACAGTACATACTTTTGGATTATTTTACGACGCCTATTATTAATTTTTTCCCATGTGTCTTATGGATAAATTGAGTTCAATTACTAGTTTTTAAATCCTTGTGACCATTTCGTACTTCTTTGTTTGGAATTATTGGAGTACAAAAAAAAAATAACTAGACTGCTTATATTTTTTACTAATCTTATTAAATATTTTAAAAAGAAGATTTTTTTGCATCACTGGTACACAATTGCATCCAAAACATCAAATTTAAATTAAGACATTTCTATTTCTATGTAATTTTGACCAAAGTTCAAGTAAGTATAACAAAATCGTGTAGTTTCTACGTTGCTGAAAATGTTTACTTAAAAAATGGTCATTAATGCATCTACAAATAGCCATTTTAGAACAAATATAATAAAAATTGGAAATATTAAGGTAAACAATTAAAAATAGTCGCTACAAAGAGTGTTTGCAAGCACACAATTCAATGCCAAAACGACAAAATATTTTTCAAAAAATCACATTAAATCGTCCGAAAAGTCAAAATTCCACAAACTGAATAACTAAAACAACAAAAACAATGATCTTGGATATCTAGAACCCCACCACCAATTTTTTGTTTTTCAAACAGTCATAAAAATATCCATAAAAACCCAACGACATAAGACTATTTGTATGTTTTGATGACAGTTGAGTATATGGATTGTACAGGTCAGAGTAAAATGGATGTTAGGTATTCTTTCCGATACGTTTTTTTTTTCATTCGAACACTAACCTAACCCTTTTAGGAAAAAAATCTGGATTATGAAAGAATTCAAAATTAGGGACTCGCCCTTAATTACCAGATTCAAAAACAGTGACGATTGGAAGACCCTATATAATGTTTTTGTTATGATGTTCATTGCTATGTTAACCTACACAGCTTGTGACGATTTTATGCTAGGCGGAAGGTGAGTACGAATTTTTCAATGTACATAATATTTTAACACACTTTCTTCAGTTCATACTTGGGGTTTCGACTAATATGGTTAGGGTTTGATAAACCTCACTTTGTTATTTTAGTTTGGTCCACTTCGAACGTTTTGGCTTGTGTGAATTATATGTGTTTTATGATTTGGGCACGGATTCGAACAAGTCTGAAACCTACAGGTAAAACCCAAAAAGATCACACTGTTTGAGAGAATTGAAATTTTGAAAAATCAAGGTTTACCCCGTAGGCACAAAACTGTGGGACACACTATGGATTTCCTTGTTAATTGTCTACTATTTTGGTTTCCTCTATGGTCTGCAAGTAATCGGCAACCTCTTGAGCTTTTCGATGTGTTCCGGCGCCGTTCTTTTTATAGAACAAGTACCAACATCATTGGAAGTAAAAAATAAAAAAACTAACTATTATCGTACTTAGGTGAGACTATTGATGAAACAACATAGTTTCATACGCACCAACGCACCTCGTGTTTTGGCTTTCGAAAAACACAGCAACGACGACTCTCTCCAAATTCCAAATTTTGGAAAATTTCTATATTTTCTGTTCGCTCCGACGATGATTTACCAAGACGACTATCCCCGAACAAGCCATATTCGATGGAAATTCGTGTTGTACAACTTTGGGGAAATTTTTGCCACAATGTGGTTGGTCAGCCTGGTCGGACAAAAGTTTTTGTTCCTTTCGTTTCGCGGTTTATGTCTACGAAAATTTGCTTTGGGTGAAATTATAACCCCTGTTTTTACCCACGTCGTCGTAGGATTTTTTATTTTATTATCCACTTTCTACACTATTTTGCACGCGTCGCAAAATGCTTTCGCTGAAATGCTTCGATTTGGAGACAGAATGTTCTATAAGGTAAAACCAGAAATAGATTTTTTATTTAGTAACTGTATTTTTTTCAGGAATGGTGGCACTCGAAGTCTCTTTCAGAATTCTACAGGACCTGGAACGTGCTAGTTCATGAATGGTTGTATATGTTTATATTCAGAGACGTCTACGAAACGTTTGTTTTGAAAAACGAAACTGCTGCTAAATTTACAGTGTTCGTTGTCTCTGCAGTGGTCCACGAGTGGGTGCTTTTTAACATTTTTAGATTTTTTCTCCCTGTTCATTTAGTTTTGTTTTTACTAACTGGAGCTGTGTTCGCTGTAATAAATCTACTTGATGTGCGCTGGGGAAATTTGCTAGTTTTGTATAGTTTAGCTTTAGGGTTCTGTATTCAGGTACACTTATTCACAATCGAATTTTTCGCACGTCTCAACTGTCCTGTAAGTGAAAATGTTACTGGTTTGGAATTTTATGTGCCCAGATTTATTACGTGTAACTGTATTAATTTATAAATAAAACTATTCTATCTTTAATCTCTACAAACATGAAATAAAATTCACTATACAATGGGCAAATATTAAACGTATACCAAAAATAGTTAAATAATGTTGACTCGTTCTTCTCACAAAAACTAGGATTTGCTTAACGTAACAAAAACTGTTACCAGACATTATTGTATTTATCATGTTCCAACCGTAAAAAGTAAATTTTGACTGAAATAACTAAAAAACCTTCTCCAACAATTTTTATTTAAAAAATCCATCATCAACGCATCTAAAAACGGCTGTTTTAAAAAGTATAATTAAAATCAAACTGTGGTGGAAATTTTAATCGAACTTTTATTTTTAATCCAAATATCCAAAATCTCGGAAAGTTGAAAAATTCAGAAACTGAAAAATTAAAGTCGAAAAAAAACCGAGATATCAAGAAATCGAAAAACAATCAAAAAATTCCAAAATAGAAAAAATATCGAACAACTGAAAAATTGAGAATTCGAAAAACCAAAAATTTAAAAAAAAGAAAAATTAAAATTTCGAGAAAGTGAAGAATCGAAAAATTGGAAAATCGTGAAACCGAAACATTGAAAAATTGAAAAATTTACAGTTTAAAAATCGAAAAAGCAAAAAATTGAAAATTTCAGGAATCGAAATAGTGAAAAATCCCAAAACTGAAATATCGAAAAATTGAAAAATCGATGAAAAATTGATAAATCTCAAAACTGAAAAATTGAGAAGTCGAAAAATTTAAGAATCGAGAAATTGAACAATCCAAAATTTGAAAAATCGAAAATTCCAGAAATCGAAAAATGCAAAATTTTAAAACTCGAAAAACCAAGATGTCAAGAAATCGAATCAAAAAAATGTAAAATCAATTAAAAATTGAAAAAGTGAAAAATAAAAAAAATTAAAATTAAAAAAATTAAAATTTTGAATAATTGACACATTCTTTCGATCTACAAACAAACAATTCAAGCTAAGCATGTACTGAGAATATTGGGAAATCGAAAACTAAAGAACTCAAAAATCGAAAAATTTAATAATTGAAAAGCCGAAAAGTCGAAAAATCTAAAAAGCTAGAAACTCATTCATTGGAAATCGAAAAATCGAAAACTTGGAGAGTCGAGAAATTGCAGAATCAAAAAATTCATAAATCTCAAAACCGAAAAATTTAGAAGTCGAAAAATTTGAGATTCGAGAAATTGAACAATCCAAAATTTGAAAAATCGAAAATGAGAGAAATCGAATCAAAAAATCGTAAAATCAATTAAAAATCTAAAAGTGAAAAATAAAAAAAAAACTACAATTAAAAAAAATTAAATTTCGAAAAATTGAAGAATCCAAAAATTGAAAAATCGTGAAACCCAAATATCAAAAAATTGAAACGAAACAATGAAAAATACCAAAATTGAAAAATCGAAAGTAACCGTGATATCGAAAAATCCAAAATCTAAAAAGCGAAGAATTGAAAAACTGAAATATTCAAAACTGAAACGCCGAAAAGTCGAAAAACCGAGAAAAGGAAAAATTGAAAAACTGACACATCGGAAAACGAAACATCAAAAAATCGAGAAATAACGAAGAGTTAGAGATTAAGAAAAATAAAAAACTGAAAACTAAAAGAAAAACGATAAATCGAAGAAGCGAAAAATTGAAACATCAAAAATAGAAAAATCTAAATCGAAAAGGCGAAAAACCGAAACATGAAATAACTGAATAATCTAAAATTTAAAGATTCGAAAAACTGAAAAATATAAATATTGAAGATCTGAAAGATTGGGAAATCGAAAAATCTACAGTTTTAAAAATTCAAAAATTAGAATATTGAAAAATTGAAAAATCTAGAAATCGAAACATCAAAAATTCGAAAATTCAAACATGAAAAATTTAGAATCGAAAAATCAAAAAGTTGAAAAATCGTAATATTGCAAAAATCGAGAAACCAAAACATACAAAAATTGAAAAATTGAAAAATCGAATAATTGAAAATTTGAAAAATCAAAATAGTGGAAAATCCCAAAACTGAAATAACGAAAAATTGAAGAATGGAAAAATTGATGATTCCTAAAACTGACATATACGGAAATCGGAAAATGGAAAAATTGAGAAACCGAAAAATTGAATCATCAAAAATGGAGAAATCTAACAATCGAAAAATCGACGCATAGAAATATTGATAAATTGAGAAATCGAAAAACTGAAAAATTCAAAAATACATAATCAAAAATTTTGAAAATTGTAAAATTGATAAATCGAAAAATCTAAAACCGAGAAGCCGCAAAATCGAAACATTAATTAAGTGAATAATCTAAAATATAAAGATTCGAAAAATTGAAAACCTGAAAAATCGAGAAATCGAAAAACCTGAAATTTTAAAATTTGAAAAATTAAAATATCGAAAATTGAAAAATCTAGAAATCGAAACATCAAAACAACGAAAATTGAAACATGAAAAATCTGGTATCGAAAATTCAAAAAGTCGAAAAATCGAAATATTACAAAATCGATAAACCAAAACATCAAAAAATTGAAAAATCTAAAATTTAAAAATGGAAAAAGTAAAAAATCGAGAAATCGAAAACTCGAAAATTTGAAGAATCGAAACAGTGAACAATCTCAAAACTGTACTATCTAAAAATTGAAAAATCGATGAAAAATTGAAGAATCGAAAAATTGACAACTCCCAAAACTGAAACAGGGAAATTGGGAAATCGAAAAATTGAAAAATAGAGAAATCAAAAACTTAGAGAGTCCAGGAATTGCAGAATCACGAAATTGCAAAATCGCAACACTGTTACCTTCAATAGTTAACTTTAAAATTTAGTTTAATTTGTATAGAGTACCCATTGGATTTTTTTTTCCTCTACTCTGTAATTTCTCTGTTAAATAAATAAATAAATAAATATCGAAAAATTGAAAAATCGATGAAAACCTGAAAAATCGAAAAATTGATAAATCTCAAAACTGAAAAATTGAGAAGTCGAAAAATTTGAGAATCGAGAAATTGAACAATCCAAAATTTGAAAAATCGAAAATGCAAGAAATCGTAAAATCAATTAAAAATCGAAAAAGTGATAAATAAAAGAAACTAAAATCAAAAAAATTAAAATTTCGAAAAATTGAATCGAAAATATGAAAAATCGTGAAACCCAAACATCAAGAAATTGAAACACGAACAGTCTATCATCAAGAAATCGAAATATTGAAAAATCGCAAACCGAAAAATTGAAAATTTGAATCTAAAATTTAAAAAATCGAAATAATGAAAAATACCAAAATTGAAATATTGAAAAATTGAAAAATCGAAAATGCGTGATATCGAAAAATCCAAAATTTAAAAGGTGAAAAATTGAAAAACGTAAAATTGAAGAATTGAAAAACTGAAAAATGCAAAACTGAATCGCCAAAAAGTCGAAAAACCAAGCAAAGGAAAAATTGAAAAACTTACACACCGAGAAACGAAACATCGAAAAATCGAGAAATTACGAAGAGTTAGAATTTAAGAAAAGTAAAAAACTGAAAATTAAAAAAAAACGATAAATCGAAAAAGCGAAAAATTTAAACATCAAAAATTCAAAAATCTAAATCGAGAAGTCGAAAAATCGAAACATCAAATAACTGAATAATCTAAAATATAAATATTGTAGACCTGAAAGATTGGGAAATCGAAAAATCTAGTTTTAAAAATTCAAAAATTAGAATATCGAAAAATTGAAAAATCTAGATATCTAAACATGAAAAATTCGAAAATACAAACATGAAAAATCTAGAATCGAAAAATCAAAAAGTTGAAACATACAAAAATTGAAAATTTGAAAAATTGAAAAATCGAAAAGTCGAAAATATGAAAAATCGAAAAATTGATAATTCCTAAAACTGACACATGCGGAAACTGGAACACCGAAAAATTGAGAAATCGAAAAATTGAATCATCAAAAATGGACAAATTTAACAATCGAAAACTCGAACCATAGAAATCTTGATGAAAAATTCGAAAAACTGAAAAATTCAAAAATACAAAATTGATAAATCGAAAAATCGAAAACTTGGAGAATTGAGGAATTGCAGAATCAAAAATTGCAAAATCGCAACACTGAATATCGAGAATTTGTAAAATTTAAAAATTGAATATAAACACTGAAAAAATCCCAAAATTGAAATATCGACAATTTAAGAAAGTTGAAGTTGAAAAATCAGGAAATTGAAAAATCAAAAAATCAAAAAATTCGAAAAATTGTTAGATATTAACAACTGAAAAATTGAAAAACTGAAGAATCAAAATATTGAAAAACCCCAAAACCGAAGCACCGTTAAATTGAAAAATCGGAGAAAAAAATGGAGAATCGAAAAATTGAAAAATCAAAAAATGGAAACATCGAAAAAATAAAAAAATTGACAAACTGAAAAATCAAAAACCTGAAATCTTGAAACGTTGAAAAATTCAAAAACTAAAGAACTGAAAAATCGAGAAATTGAAAATTCGAAAATTGAAAAAAAAAACAAAAAAAATTGAAAAATTGAAACGTGTAAAATTTAAAAATCCGCAAATAAAAAAAAGAAAATTCGAAAAATTGAAAAACTGAAGAATCAAAATATTGATAAAACCCAAAACCGAAATAACTGAGAAATCGAAAAATTGAAAAACCAGGAAAACGAAGTCAAAAATCGAAATACTGAAAAATCAAAACCCTAAAAAAATCATAAAATTGCAGAACTGAAAAACTGAAAAATCGAAAAGTCGTAAAACAAAAAAATTGATTAAACGAGAAATTGAAAAATCAAAACTTTAGAAACGCCAAGAATTGAGAAAACTTGAAAATCCCAAAACTAAAATATCGAAAAACTGAAAAAAGGAAGAAATCGAAAAATCGACGTCGAAAGAGAAAAATTGAAAAACCGAAAAACTTACAATCGAAAAATCCAAAGATTGAGAAATTTAAAGATGAAAATGCTGAAAATACTAAAATTGAAAAATTCTAAAAATTGAAAAATAGAAACATCGAAGAACTGAAACATCAAAACATCGAATAGGTAAT